CCAACCCGCCCATCCACAAAAGTTTCTCAGCGGATTTGGGCTGTACTCAGCAAGCGCACTACAGCTTCCAACTCAGATCTGAAAAAAAAAATAGTGGATGGTTGTTTTCTGACTGGTCGGCAGACTGCCGACCAGTCGGTCCTACTGGTCGGCTGCAATACGGTCGGCGGTCGGCAGGGATGCTATCAATGAACTTGGCTTGATTCCGTACTCTTACTCTTATCACGTCTTTTTCTTTTTCTCTCGTCTGCTGGGGATCCCGTTGGTGAATTCTTGCAGGAGGATGTGTGTGAACAGCCACTGGCAGGCAAACACAACAAAGGGTGTCATTGCAAGAAGTCAGGATGCTTGAAGAAGTATTGTGAGTGCTTTCAGGCAAACATTCTCTGCTCAGAGAACTGCAAATGTGTAGACTGTAAGAACTACGAAGGCAGTGACGACAGGCGTGCACTGTTTTACAATCCAGGGAATGGTTCATCCATGGGCCCGGCAGGCACGATGCCACTTCTCAGCAATGGCAGTGGCCTCGGTCTTTGTATGGTAGGTGTTGGAGCTAATGGGACGACTAGCGGTGATCATGGTATCTTGCCAGGTACCAATCATGCATCGATTGGAAACATGGGACCATCTCCTTACATGTCACCTTCTCCTCCCCCAATGAAGAGAGTGCGAGTGGTACCGGACCGAGCATTTCTTCAAGGTGTCAAAGACCAAGGAATTCTGCGAAGACCGATACCTCAGGTCAGCCCGTTGGTCATTCACCCCTGCATCTGGCACCTTCATTAGTTTTCATTCTGCCGCGTCCATCTGTTCTGTCGGAGCTCGTTCCACTGGATAGTCTGAACTCAAAATCCAATGCAGCTTATCTTTTCTGATTGATTGGTTGGTAACTCATGATCACATGCGGCCTTAATATGTCTTCCATTGTGAAGCGAAAATAAATATATAAGGGACGCTGGGGGGCGGCTTGCAGCAGGTGACGCTCCCGGCCAATAGTTTCAAGCCCCTTTTCCAAAAAAGAAAGAAAGAAAGAAAAGGGAAGAAAAACTAGTGAATGCGGCTCGTAAAGAAAAGAGGCTTGAAAGGTGCGGGGCAAAGTCTAGGGGAAACCCAAAAAAAAAAAAAAAAGACGGGAGTCAGGATTCAGAAGATGGAGAGTGACCAGAAGAATATGCTTCCTATGTACCTGAGACTCTGGGAGGAACCTATCTTTCTGAATGATTAGGCACCCCTTTTCCTGAGGGGGTAAGAACTAAAAGGGGATTAGTCCAAATCTGATTTTCCCGACACCGCTTTTCGTTGAATCTGCCAAAGTCTATACAGGGAAGAAGTTGAAGAACTGAAGGTCAGATGTGAACTGTCAGCACCAGAAAGACAGGCATCTCACTATCAATTGGAGATGAAAACTGTCGGTTACAGAAGACGACTTAGACGAGCAACAACACAAAGCCTGGGCTAAGGGCCTCATTCCACTGCTCAGCGAATGCAAAAATGTCATTGCCATTTTCTCCACCAAGCTAGACTTGCCGTTTCCACATTTGGTGAGTAGTGGAAAAAGGCCCTGCATGCTGCTTCTCGGACCCTGGAGAACATCGTACGAGTACAAGAGATAGGGAGCCCTTGAATCTCTTGCATTAGAAAGATGTTCAAAGTCCCCTCCGTCTCTTCTCTGCAATCCATTTTATTATTATTATTATATTTTTTTAATATCTGCTTCACGATGATAGGAAGAGCCGCGACATCAAAGGATAGAAAGGCAACGTCACTACGAACGCTTGGCTGCCTTTGTTATGTCTTCCTCTTCGTTGTGGTGGTCGCTTGTGCGACGTTTTTGTTGTACTGTGATGGTTGGTCCATGGACTTGAGGTTTCTGTGATGGCAATGTGGACTACTGACCCGGTTATCTGGTCATGTTTTTGCTGCCGCTGCGCCATTTGTTGTTCTTATGTGCAGGTGGACATGGGCCGCGGCATTAGAATAGGAAATAGTATGTCGCCCTACCCTCAGGTAGCGGTGCCTTTGGCACGGCATGGGGGCCATCAAGCTCAAGCTTTCCCAGCGAAACCTGCAACAAAGTTAGTTGCCACAGATCCTTTTACACCTTCACCACCTCTTGTTGGCTTCCCTTCCTTGCTGCCTTTGCCTTCTTCCAGAAGGCAGAACATACGTTACGGAGCACTTGGTTTAAACTTTAAAGTTTAAACCGCCCCTACCCCTTGTAAAATCAAACCAACCACTGCAGACAGGAAGAGTGGGGGACCGTCTGATTGTCATGCCAACGGAACAACTGGAAAACTCGACCGTCCTCGTAACCATGGACGTTTTGTTAAAGGAGGAGGGGGGGTCAAAGTGGCAAACTGAATCACACTCCCTCCTTTCCCTTCTTCCATCTCAACCGTTCACGGTTTTGCAATTTCTGCCCTCAACAACTCATTGTATAGGGCTCGTTGTCGTGACGGCTGTGAGGCAGAAAGAGTCAGAAATGCTACCGTCAGAGCACAGAACGCTAAGTGTGATTTACGTGTCAAGCTGCTTCGCTTCACATCCACCACCTCTCCTTTCCCCGTCTTCATCGCAAGCAGTCATGGTTTTGTCGTATGGGCCTCATTGTAACACATAGCCAGGATGCACGGCCTAGACAACACTTAGTGCCAAGAGTCGGTATCAAGTTGATCAAGTGTGGAATGACTGCAACGTCTTATAGAGGGCAGGGAAGAGATGTGGGAATAATTGAATTGGAGTTTTGAATTATGTATCCAATTTATCGTCATATTATCAGCATCAGGGTGCTACCGTCTTCACCCGTCTTCACCCGAACACAACGTACGGTCATTATTGCTGTATCTAGACTCAAAGTTGCCCCAAATACAGCTATAATAACTGTACGTTGTATTCGAGCGAAGACGGTAGTGAACAGGTGTTGCTGGACTGTAGCCACTCTCGTGGCTGGTCTAGCAAATCGCTGACCAGTGGGTTGAGGTCCCAACTCCGCCACCAACTTAGCTGGTAATCAGACTGTGATTTTGAAGTTCGAACTCCAAAAGCTTAGAGAGGGAAGAGCAACCTAGAAGACATACTGATAAAACACGTGTAGCTGTTCATGACCAGGCCACGAGTTCGAGTCCTGATGGAATTGGAAAGAGACGTTGAATGCCAAAAGTTTACGACATCCACGGTGACTGATGAACCGGTTTCTCTGTAGTAAACACCTCAGCAGATATAAGATCGAAGGGTGTGAGCTTGCAAAAAGAGAACGATCGATCTCTATGCTTTTTGCCGCTTCAAGCAAAGGACGATATCACCCCCTGTGATCTAATGTGGAGGCTTGCAGGGTAAGAACAATTCATGCGGCGTATCACATGCGCCGCATAGCGCACGCACACATGTGCGCACGGACATGATGCGGTGCAATTACGAATTAAACGGAAAAAAAAATCAAAAGGGCAGGCTGTGGTAACCAAATGTGTGCCTCCCTTTTGAAAATTGCAAGTGTACAGAAAAAAAAGTAATTTGGCACCACATCCTACTCCTCATTGGATGTAGTCTCTTTTCCAAAGGGTTCCCTGCAAAGAATTAGCAGGGATCCCACACATTTGGAAGGACGTTCATCGAACTGCTGGAGGATCACAAGCAGGCCAGCATTATATGTTGGATTCAGATTCAGGTCGGTGTTCCAAGAGTTATGGGTTACGAACAAGCACTACAGTAGCTGTCTGGTTTTTGTGTTTTTACTTTTCTTACGTGCAGTCGCCCTAAAGAAAAACGTATCGCTTGTATGGTTCCAGTTTCTAGGAGAAGATTCATTCTAGTTTTGCACATTTGGTGAGTAGCGGAGTGAAGCCCTGAAAATCACATGCTGAGTTAGCAAGTCTGTAACCCATAACTGCTGAAACACGGACCTGAATTCGAAGCTACATCATATATAGCTGGCCTGCTCCCTCCTTACTGCAAGCACATCGACTATCCTTCTCCTGCTGACGAGATCCTTGCTAAGTTGGCAGGGAACTTTTGAAGAGCGGGCAGGGGATTTCTGAATAGTGTGAAAGGGGCCAAAGGGCTCTTCTCTCTCTCTCTCTCTCTCTCTCTCTCTCTCTCTCTCTCTCTCTCTCTCTCTCTCTCTCT